TGGGCTCAGGTATAACAAGGATCATGGGGCTGGCACAGGACTGGGCAGCGTTTTGTTTTGCTGTACATGAGGTTGCTGTGAGTCAGAGTTGACTTAACGGTGCCTAACAACAGCAACAACAAAGGTGGTAAATCTTTACAGAAGCAGATTGCCTCATCCTTCTCCCACGGAGTGGCTGACGGGTTCGAACCACCAACCTTTTGAACCTGTTAGCAGTTAAATGCCTTAACCATTGTGCCACCAAAACTTCAACCATGCTATAAGTAATATACAAATACCAGGTGTGGTGGTTATGTTTGTGTGTCAACTTGGCTAGGCCTGGATGAGTGGCTGGGCAGCTGTCAGTAGTTATTCCCCATCATGAGACTGGCAATCAACTCCATGGTGGGTTCTACCACAAGCAGCTGAGGAGCTGCCTTTGGGATGTGGTCTGCTTCCTGTATATAAGGAGAAGCCTTGGGAATGGTCTCTAGCTTATAGAACACTTGGATCTGAATGTAGCCGTGTTGTTGTTCAGCAGCCTGCCATGCTCTGCTGACCTTGGGACTCACAATGGACTTAAATTAATGGCCTGCCATGTGATTTGGTAACATAGGGACTGTGCCTTTTCATTTGTCGACCTTGGGTTTGTCAGCCTCAGCAGCCAGCAGCTGAGTGAAGAAATGCCTCTAGCTCCAGTGGGCTGGGAGCAGGAGGCAGAGCTGGACCCCAAGGTTGAAGGGCTTTCATTCAGCCCCTACAGCCTGGTACTTTGAACTTGGACTTCAAGCCTCCAAATTGTGAGAAATAAACTCCTGTTTGTTAAGGCCATCCCATTTGTGGTATATATTCTTATCAGAGTGCCACTTGTTGTTGTTATTTTGGGCCATCAAGTCAGACTTAACTCATAGCAACCCCTCCTTGGGTTTCCAAAGCAGTATCACTAAGGAAGTAGATTCCCCAACCTTCCCTCCGATGAGTGGCTGGTGGGTTTGAACCACCAACCTTTTGGTTTGCAGTCAAATGCCTTAGGCACTACACTACCAGAGTGGCACTAGGTAACCAGAACACCAGGTGAAGGAAAAGAGAGTAATGTGACCTCTTAAATGCCTAAACCCTGATAGGTTCAAGGAGTATCAAGTTAGTCATCTCTCTTTCCTGCAAATGAACAAGTTTCACTTAACACAGAGGTTTATCAGATTTCCGTACTCATGTTAGAACAAAAAATAACCAACTATCTACCACCCAGCCAAAAGGGAAAAACAAAACAAAGGAAAAATAAACTCTGTCACTCAAAAGGCAAGGCTACCAGCCCACAAATGACTAGTAGCACACCAGACAGAGGAAAACACTCGAATAAAAATAAAAATGTAGTCCAATAAGTTGTGGTTCCTGGGGCTTGGTTTGATGGCTTCAGCCAACTTAACCACAGCCCAAGGAGATTTAGTTAAACAATTTAATTTTTCTCTCATTCATAAACTATATGTCTGGCTCTGATTCTCTGGTTGCAATAAAGGAAAATACTCCTTTGTGAGGAAGGTGGTCCAGTCAGTCCTCACAGTCTGTGCCTTACTGCAAAGATAATATCTTGTCATAAATACCACAGTATCACCCACGGCATCACAGGGAGTCTTCAAACTATGAAGCTCTCATACAAGGACATCCCTTTACAGTTTATAAAAGGCTTCTCACATTCATCATCTCACAAAAGTTATCATTCTTCTTTTATAGATGAGGATCCTAAAACCCAGAGAGACCGAGTATCTTGTTTATCAAAGAGGACCAAAGCAGAGCAGACAACACTGGAAACTTGGCTCCTAATTTCAAGTCCAGCACTAGTTCTACTGCACCTTCACTGATCCTGTGTTATTCACCAGGACCTTTGGACATCTGGTGGTTCAAAGTATAGATGAGTAAGAGCTGTGTTTAGTAAATTGACATGCATGTTCCATGGGTTGGAGTCACTCTAGGATGTCACCTTGCATTACTTTAACCTTAATGCTTCAGATCTGTGGAATGTACTACTAAACACTAGGAAACTGAGCAAATGACAATATCTCTTTGTGGAAGATGAGGAACACTGAAATATACCTATTCTGTGAAACATAGTTCTTTTCTGGCCTCCCTAACATATGCTTTCAGTCAAACTAATATACAAAAGTACTTTTTTGGTTGTGACCTTTGTATCTACCACTGTTCCTAATTTAGATCTTATTTGGATGTCTGCTGATTGGACAGATGACTTTGTAGTTGTTCCCAGAGTGCTTCTTAAGATCTATTAGCCAATTCAACTAAAGCAAATCCCAGAAATGGTAGAATCTGATGACCTAGCCAATCATGGTCTTTCTCCATCAAATGTAGTCTTCTGCTTTGGTCTTCTTGTTAGCTTTCCTAGTACGTTGCTAGACATAAACTTCCCTGGGAGGCAGAGGGGAAAAATGTTTTGATAGTTGGCAATTGCACTGGAGTTTCCCAAACCTTTACAACAAAGTGCTGACTTATAGGCATGCACATCCTGGGTGATTTCTCAGCCTGAAAAGCAACATGAACTCTGGCTGACCAGGAATCTTTCTAGCAGTTGTAAAACGGCCTAGGCTTTGTGGCTACAAACCGAAGTTCGGGTAAGATCAAATAAGCATATTCTCCTGTTTACTGCCTCAGACTGATTTGGAAGCTAAAGAAGGAAAGGGGTGGGAAATGTGAGAGCTGTAGAAAGCCAGACTTTTTAAATCAGCTGGAGGAATGTACTGACCTGTCCTCTTGTTGGGGAAGGGAGTACTGTCCTCCTTCTCAGGGTAGATCCTCTGGTTATCTTGCAATTATTTAATCAATGAGGCATGAATTTTGTATAATGGGACATTCTGATGTTTTGTGCAGCACATGAAGAATAGAAAATTGAGTGAGAATTTAAAAGCTTGGTTCAAATGCCTGCCCAGCTATACTGTATGAGACTTTGGCCAAGTTGCTTTATTTCCATGAGCCTCAGTTTTCTTGCCTGTGAAATGGGGATGCTTGTCTCCCATGAGATGCTGCTAGTATTAAAATAAATTGCATGTGAATTTGTTTGAGAACTAATGAAACACATAGAAATAACTATTGTCACAAATTAATACTGCTATTAGTACTACTACAAATAGTTCATTATTATAACAGTGTTTAACCCTACTTAATTTATTTTTGTAAGATTAGGGTAACTTCTTAGCCACGACTAAGCATTTTGAGGGAGTAAGTCATTGGGCCTGCAGGGTTCAGACCATGGTCACGGTGTACAACAAGCTCAACTGGCACAACATAGTACACAAAAAACATTGTTCTATATCCTACTTGGGAGCTCTGGTAGCATAGTGGCTAAGACACTTGCCTGCTAACCAGACGGCTGGCGGTTCAAACCCACCAGCCACTCCTTGGAAGGAAGGTTAGGCGATCCTACTTCCATAGTGATACTGCCTCGGAAACCCAAGGAGGGGTCGCTATGAGTCGGGTTTGACTCGACGGCACATAACAACAACAACAACATATCCTACTTTGGTGAGTATCAACTGTGGTCATAAAAGCTTGCAAGCAGCCATCTAAGATGCAGCTAATGGTCTCTGTGTCCTGAACAAAGAACAGTGAAGAAAATCAAAGACACATGGAAAAAATTAGTCCCAAGGACTAACAGACCATCAGAACCTCAGCCTATATGACCCTGAGACCAGCAGAACTAGATGGTGTTTGGCTACCAATGTCAGCCACTCAGGAAGGGGTCAAAATTGGAGATCTTTGATAAAGTGGGAGAAAAATGTGGAACAACACACACACACACAAAAATGACCAGGATTTCTGGTAGGAGAGAGACTGTGAAAATTCTAAGACTCTGGTTCCAAGGCACCCTTTGGACCTGGAATTGGACTCTCCCTTAGCTAACGTTTAGCCAAACAATAGACAGGCCTATGAGCTGACATCTTCCCCAGGGAGATACACTTCTTAGAATAATCAACCACCGTAGATCAGAAGGGCAGCATCTGTATAGGGAGCAAGGTAGGGAGGCAGGGATGTACAGGCAAGAAGGACACAGGGAAAGGGTAACACAGGGAGGAAGTGGGAGGAGAGCTGTTACATTTCAGGAAGTGTAATTAGTGTCACTATACTAATTACAGATTTCCAGCAGTATAAACTGCTGAAAGTAAGACAAATCTGCTTTGTAAAATTTCACCCAAATCACAGTAAAAAGGTGAAAAAAAAAAAGAAATTATTTTTGGCAACAGTCTACCTGCATATCCACTAATTCTGGCCTTACACAAGTACCATAGAATGCCTTGCTTTTTCAATCTTTGTACCATGCTCTATTTATTTCCTCCACTGGAAGGCTCCCTCCCACCTCTCTCAATTTGATCTAAATTCTGCTTGTCTCTTAGAGCTCTGCTAAGATCCTATGTGTTTGAAACATCTTAGGTTAACTGATGTCCCATGAGACTCTCTCTTCTCCAGGTTCCTCTGAGAGGTAGTCTAGTCCACACTGCCTGCACTCACTATGGACAGAAGTAAGCATGCAAACCTCTTGTGCTCAAGTACAATCCCTGTGCACTCATGGGCTCCCTACAGAAACAGATGAGAGTAGGTATGAAAGCACTTTTGTTGGGATCCAAAGGTAATGATAGAAAAATCTGAGATACGCTTGTTTTTAAGGCCTCCTTTCAGGCTTTCAAAGGCGCTCTGGTGGTGCAGTGGTGAAGGCATTTAGCTGCTAAGCAAAAGATCAGCAGTTTGGGTCCACCAGCTGCTCCATGGGAAAAAGATGAGACAGTCTGGTTGCATAAAGATTTATAGCCTTGGAAACCCTACAGAGTCATCATGAGTTGGAATAGACTTGATAGCAGTGGCTTTGGTTTTCTTGGTTCAGACTTCCATTAATCGTAATAGCTTAGTCCTATTCTTTATTTTCCAGAGAATGTGGGTTCTGTCTTGATCTGGATAAAAACTGATCAAGCCCATTACTTCCTTCTTCCTCCATCTAGAGTGAACAGTGCATAGGGACTTACCCTCTCTTAGGTCTTGTCCTATCTTGGGTGATGACTTTTTTCCCATTGACAATCCATGAACTTCTGCCTCCTCCACATTCACTCCTGAAGGGACCCTGCCCATAGGAAGGAATAGGAAAGATGGATGAATGGAAATGGTAAACAAAAGGAAGAAGTGGGGAAAGTGCTGTTATATTGTGGGGACTGCAGTCAATGTCACAAATCAAAATGTGTACGAATCAATGAATGAAAACCAACTTTCTTTGTAAACTTTCACCCAAATCACAATAAAAAGTTGAAATAGCAACTTCCAATTGAATAAAGATGTTCAAAGGCAAAGGATACTTTACCCAGGTAGTCTATAGTTTGAATACTGGTTTATCTTTGTTGTGCACAAACTCATCTGTCTTTTAAGATCAAATGAAATGTCATTGCTTCTGTGAAGTTCTTCTCTCTTCCCTTAATGAGTGTGCTCTATTTCACTCTTCTAAATTTTTCTAGCAGCCTTTATTACAGTTAATTGCATGCATAATTTAACACTCTTAAGATAAGACTTTGAGTTTCAATAGAGCAGAGAAAAAAAATGTTGTGTATGTTTACAATGCTTTAAGCATCTAGTATTGTGCCTTGAACACTGTACACTGTTTATTTCATCTCACAGTAAAATGTCCTGAGTTTCTTGCTTTCAAATAAATATAATAAAGAAATATACTGTTAAAAAGAACGTTCAATTGATTTTCTATTAATAAATGAAAAATGACATCCAACATTCTCCTAGAATGCTAGCTCTCAGTAATCATTTAATTCAACACTTTCAGTGGAAGGAAAATTTGAGACCCTGATCACGAGATGGATTACTTAAGGTCACACAGCAGTGACAAGAAGAACCAGGACTAAAATTCAGAGCTCCTAATTCACAGCTCATAATTCTTGTAATTATATCTTTTTGCCTATATCAAATGATAATAGGTTATGACTGTATTTGTCTAATTAAAAATAAACAGTTGTGTTCTGAAAGGATAACTCACCGATTCTCATCTTGTCGTCCTCCATATCTGATCCAATAATTCTGTTTTAAATTAAAAAAGACTCTGTAATTTGTCACTAAAACATCATTTACAGAAAAAAAGATGAAATATACACTTAAATATGCAAAAGGCCTAAAATACTGGGAAACTTGCATAATTCATAAAGACACAATATAGATTTTTAATTATTTTTAATACAAAGATAGGCCAAGGTTGATGTAATTTTGGCAAAGATGAAAAAGAAAGCACTAATGGATTAAAAAGAAAGAAAGAAAGAAAGAAAATTCTAAGTCATACTTTTAAGCAAAAGGATGAATGTGCAGCTAATTTCATGTCTCTTTTGTTTTGTTTTGTTTGTGTAGGTAGACACTTGAAACCACCACTTGTCAGTTTGTTATATGTAGTGGCTTACATGCTGTTGTGGTGTTGAAAATGATGCCACTGGTTTTTAAAATGCCGGCAGGGTCACCCATGGTGTTGTAACACAGATGAGCAAGGAGGGCTTGGAGAGCTACTTCTAGAAAAATTAGTCAGTGAAAACCTTATGAATAGCAGCAGAACGTTGTTGGGTATAGGGCCAGAAGATGAGCCCCTCAGGTTGGAAGGCACTCAAAATATGTACAACTAGAGAAGAGGTGCCTCCTTAAAGTAGAGTCTACCTTAATGGCATAGATGGAGTAAAGATTTCAGGACCTTCATTTGCTGACACAACTCAAAATGAGAAGAAATAGCTGGAAATATCCACTAATAATTAGAACACAGAATGTATGAAATAAGAATCTAGAAAAATTGGAAGTTATCAAAATGAAATGGAATGTATAAATATTGACTTGGTATTAGTGATCTGAAATGGACTGGTATCAGACATTTTGAATCTGACAATAATATGGCCAGGAATGACAAATTGAAGAGGAATGGAGTCACATTATTGTCAATAACTGCATTTCAAGATCTATCCTTAAGTATAATGCTGTCAGTAATAGGATAACATACGTACAAGGAAGACCAGTTAATTCAACTTTTATTCAAATTGAAGCACCAATGACTAATGTCAAAGATGAAGAAACTGAAGATTTTTACCAACATCTGAAGTCTGAAATTGATCAAATATTGCAATTAAGATGTGTTGATAATTATCAGGGACTGGAATATGGAAGTTGGAAACAAAGAAGAAACATCGGTAGTTGGAAAATATGGCCTTGGTGATTGAAATGATGGTGGATACCACATGATAGAATTTTGCAGACTAGTGACCTATTTGTTGGAAAAACTTTTTTTCAGCAACATAAATGGCAGGTATTCACATGCACCTCACTAGCTGGAATGCACAGGAATCAAATTGACTACAATTGTGGAAAGAGATGACAGGAAAACTCAATATTGTCAGCCAGAACAAGGCTAGGGGCCAATGTGGAACAGATCGTCAATAGCTCAAATGTAAACTCAAGTTGAAGTTGAAAAAAATCAAAACATGTCCATGGAAGACAAAGCATATACTACCTGAATTTAGAGACCATCTCAAGAGTAGATTTCATCCATTAAACACTAATGACTGAAGACCAGATGAGTTGTAGGATGACATCAAGGAAATCATACATGAAGAAAGCAAAAGGTCATTAAAATGACAGGAAAGAAAGAAAAGACCAAAACAGATGTCAGAAGAGACTCTGACACTTGTTCTTGAATGTAAAGTAGCAAAAGCAGATGAAAGAAATGATGAAGTAAAAGCTGAAAAGAAGATTTCTAAGGGAGCTCTGGTAGCATAGTGCCTAAAGCACTTGACTGCTAACCAGAAGGCTGGTGGTTCAAACCCACTGGCCACTCCTTGGAAGGAAGATGGGGCAATCTACTTCCGTAGTGATACTGCCTTGGAAACCCAAGGAGGGGTTGCTATGAGTCAGGTCCAAGTCAATGGCACATAACAACAACAAGGGTGGCTCAAGAAGACAAAGTAAGCTATTATATATAATGGGAAAAAAGCTCAAAGGGCTATGAAGAGGGTCCAGGACTGGACAGTGTTTGTTCCGCTGTACATAAAGTTGCCGTGAGTCAGAACAAACTCTATGGCACATAACAACATAACAAGACATTTGAAAGGTCACTCAGTCTAGATCCTTTATGTTTAATGGATTACCTCCTCCCAAAAAAGTTACCAAAAATAAAATCCAGTTTAGCTAATAATCTGTACAGGATCATAAAATGTTTTTTCAGGCATTTCTTGGGATAACACAATTTTTGAAAAATAGTAATTAGGGCTGAATATAAATATTTAAAATGCTATATATATATTAGAAATACATTAGAAATATTATGTAAGTAAGAGAGAAAGAAAAGTGACATAAATAACAGATAAAGGAAAAATATGCTGTAAATTATATTATATATTACCAAATCAAAAAACCAAACCCACTGCCATTAAGTTGGTCCCAACTCATAGTGATCCCTCCTTGGGTGTTCCAGGCGGTATCTCTACAGAAATAGATTGCCCAGTCTTCCTTCGGAAGAGTGGCTGGTGGGTTTGAAATGCCAGCCTTCTGGTTAGCATTACCATTAAATAAAAAACTTCTGCCAGTCATCTGTCACTTTGTTATACTGTGGTGGCTTGTGTGTTGCTATGAGGCTGGAGGCTATGCCTCTGGGATTTCAAATACCAGTACGGTCACCCATGGTGGACAGGTTTCAGGGGAGCTTCCAGAATAAGACATACTCAGAAGAAGGAAGGGGCCCTCCACTTCTCAAAAAACTGGCCAGTGAAATCCTTATGAATAGTAGTGAAACACTGTTTGATATATTACTGGAAAACTTGATGAACAGTCCTGAAACGTTGTCCAATACAGTGCCTGAAGATGAGCCCCTAAGGTAAACAGGTGCTCAAAATATGACTGGAGAAGAGCTGTCTCCTGAGAGTAGTGCCAACCTTAATGATGTAGATGGAGTAAAGCTTTTAGGACCTCCATTTGCTGATGTGGCATGACTCAAAATGAGAAAAAAATAGCTGTAAGCATCCATTAATAATCAGAATATGGAATGTACTAAGTATGAATCTAGGAAAATAGGAAGTTGTCAAAAATGAAATGGAATGCATAAAGATCTATATCCTAGGCATTAGTGAGCTGAAATGGACTGGGTTTCACAGTTTTGAATCAGACAACCATAAGATCTACTATGGTGGGAATGACAAATTGAAGAGGAATGGTGTGGCATTCATTGTCAAAAAGAATGTTTCAAGATCTATCCTGAAGTGCAATGCTGTTAGTGATAGGATAACAAGGAAGATCAGTTAATACTAATATCATTCAAATTTATGTACCAACCACCAAAGCCAAAGATAAGGAAATTGAAGATTTTTATGAACTTCTGCAGTCTGAAATTGATGAAACATGCAATCAAGATGTGCTGTTTATCACTGGTGATTGGAATGCAAAAGTTGGAAACAAAAAAGAATCACTGCTAGTTGGAAAATATGGCCTTGGTGATAGAAATAATGCTGGAGATCGCATGATATAATTTTGCAAGACCAATGACATATTCATTGCAAGTACCTTCTTTCAACAACATAAATGGCGGCTGTACACATGGACTTCACCAGAGGGAGTACACAGGAATCAGATCAACTACATCTGTGGAAAGAGACTTTGGAGAAGCTCAATATCTTCAGACAAAAAAGGCCAGGGGCTGACTGTGGAACAGATCATCAATTGCTCATATGCATGTTCAAGTTGAAGCTGAAGACAATTAAAACAAGTCCATGAGAGCCAGAATATGACCTTGAATATATGCCTCCTGAATTTAGAGCCCATCAAAAGAATAGATTTGATGCACTGAACACCAGTGACAGAAAACGAGAGGAATTGTGGGATGACATCTAGAACATTATCCATGAAGAAAGCAAAAGGTTACTAAAAAGACAGGAAAGGAAGAAAAGGCCAAAATGGATATCAGAAGAGACTCTGAAACTTGCCCTTCAACAGAGTGTAGCTAAAGCGGGTGGAAGAATTGACAGGATAAAAGAGCTGAACAGAAAATTTCAAAGATCAGCTTGAGAAGACAGCGTCAATTATTATAACAAAATGTGCAAAGACCTGGAGTTAGAAAACCAAAGGGAAGAACACACTCCTGATTTCTTGAGCTGAAAGAGCTGAAAAAAATTTCAAGCCTCAAGTTGCAATACTGAAATATTCTATGAGCAAAGTATTGAATGAGGCAGGAAACATCAAAGGAAGATGGTAGGAATACACAGAGTCACTGTACCAAAAAGAATTGGCTAATGTTCATCCATTTCATGAGGTATATGATCAAGAACCCATAGTATTGAAGGAAGAAGTTGAAGCTACACTGAAGGAATTGGTGAAAGACAAGGCTCCAGGAATTGACAGAATACCATTTGAGATGTTTCAACAAACAGATGCCACGCTAGAGGCACTCACTTATCTATGCTAAGAAATTTGGAAGACAGCTACCTGGCCAACTACCTGGAAGAGATACATATTTGTACCCAGTCCAAAGAAAGGTGATTCCACAGAATGTGGAAATTATTGAACAATATCATTAATATTACATGCAAGTAAAATCTTACTGAAGATAATTCAAAAATGGTTGCAGCAGTATATTGACAGAGAACTTCCTGAACTACAAGCTGAATTCAGAAGAGGATGTGGAATGTGGGATATCATTGCTGATGTCACATGGATCTTAGCTGAAAGCAAAGAATACCCGAAAAATGTTTAATTATGTTTTATTCACTATGGAAAATCATTCAGTTGTGTGGATCATAACCAATTATGGATAAAATTGAGAAGAATGGGAATCCAGAACACTTGATTGTACCCATCAGGAACCTGTACACAGACCAGAAGGCTGTCGTTCAAACAGAACAAGGGGATATGGCATGGTTCAAAATCAAGAAGGGAGTGTTGTGTTCAAGGTTGAATCCTTTCACCATACTTATTCAACTTGTATGCTGAGCAAATAATCTGAGAAGATGGATTATATGAAGAAGAATGTGGCATCAGGATTGGAGGAAGACTCATTAACAACCTGTGATATGCAGATGACACAACTTTGCTTGCTGAACATGAGGATGACTTGAAGCACTTACTGATGAAGATTGAAGACTACAGTCTGCAGTATGCATTATACCTCAATATAAAGAAAACAAAAATCCTCACAACTGATCCAATAAACAGCTTCAAGATAAATGGAGAAATGATTGAAGCTGTCAAAGACTTCATATTACTTGTTTCTACAATCAACACCAATGGAAGCAGCAGTCAAGACATCAGATGATGTATTGCATTGGGAAAATCTGCAGAAAAAGACTTCATTCAAGTTCTGAAGAGCAAAGATGTCTCCTTGAAGACTAAGGTGCTTCTAACCCAAGCCATGGTATTTTCAATTACCTCTTATGCATGTGAGAGCTGGACAATAAATAAGGAAGACCAAAGAAGACTTGATGCTTTTGAGTTGTGGTTCTGGAGAAGAATGCTGAAAATACCATGGACTGCTAAAAAAAAACTAACAGATCTGTTCTGGAGGAAGTGCAGCCGGAATGCTCCTTGGAAGCAAGAATGGCCAGACTTCATCTCACCTACTTTGGTCAGGTTGTCAGAAGGAATCATTCTCTGGAAAAGGATATCATGCTTGGTAAATTGGAGGGTCAACAAAGAAGGGGAAGGCCCTGAAGGATATGGATTGACATAGTGGCTGTGACAATGGGCTCAAGTATAACAAGGATCACGGAGCTGGTGCTGGACTGGGCGGTATTTTGTTCTGCTGTGCATAGGGTTGCTATGAGCCGGATATGAGTTGATGGCACCTAACAACAACCCAAGCCACGGTGCTTTCAATCACCTCGTATGCATGTGAGAGCTGGATGATGAACAAGAAAGACCGAAGAAGAGCTGATGTTTTTGAATTGTGGTGTTGGCAAAGAATACTGAAAGTACCATGGACTGCCAAAAGAACTAACAAATCTGTACAGGAAGAAGCCAGAATGCTCCTTGGAAACAAGAATGGCCAGACTTTGTCTGACTTACTTGGTCATGTTGTCAGAAGGGACCATACCCTGGGGAAGGATACCATGCTTGCTAAAGTGGTGGGTCAATGAGAAAGAAGAAGGCCCTCAATGAGATGGACTGACACAATGGCTGCAATGATGGGCTCAGGTATAGCAAAAATTGTGAGGCTGGCAACAGATCAGGTAGTGTTTTATTTTGCTGCACATAGGATCGCTATGAGTGGAGCTAATTCAATGGCACCTAATACTAACATAAAGAACTTACACAGTACTCAACAGATGAATGAAGAAAGGACATAGCCAATAATGCAAATGAAAGGAAAATTAATAATAATAATATAGAAAAAACGTTTATTCTTCGTGACTATCAAAGGAATCCAAATTAAAACAACAATGACATATCATTTTGTATATAATATATGAACAATGTAAGTCATTTTAGAATGTTATTTTTCATTGCTGAGAAATGTGTGGTAAAGTGGTCCTTTTATGCATTAGTAGAAGTAGTACAGTATCAGGAAACTCTTGTTGTTGTTGTTGTTGTTATGTGCCATCGAGTCAAACCTGACTCATAGCGACCCTCCTTGGGTTTCCGAGGCAGTATCACTACAGAAGTAGGATTGCCCAACCTTCCTTCCGAGGAGTGGCTGGTGGGTTTGAACCGCCAGCCCTCTGGTTAGCAGTCAAGTGTCTTATCCACTATGCTACCAGAGCTCTTAGGAAAGCAATTTACCTTCAAGAGCTTTAAAAGTTTTCATGCCCTTTGATGACAGTGTAATCCTACTCCTGGGAATTTATTCTAAGGATACAGTTCAGTAGAGGGAAAACTTGCTGAATGTATTAGGAATGGTAGAAAGAAAAATCAGGAATAATTTAAATGTCCAGAAGCAGGAGAATTAATTTAATTATTGTACATTAACTCTCTCTATATAACTAAACATAAATTTTAAGGATATACAAATCTAGAAATTGCTTATGTTATTTTCCTAAATAAAAACAAGAACACAAACATACCTATACTAGAGTACTAGTTCTTCAAAAGTTTTGTCTTCATATTAAAATTTATTAGAAGACACCATGACGGGTAGTAAAATTGTGATTGACTCTGTGCTATCTGAGGTCTTGATACCTGTTTACAACAGAAGCCCTGATGGCACGGTGGTTAAGTGCTCAGCTGCTAACCGAAAGGTCAGCAGTTTGAAACCGCCAGCTGATCTGTGGAAGAAAGACCTAGAGATCTGTTTCTGTAAAGATCAGAGCCTTGGAAACCCTACTGCGCAGTTCAACTCTGTCCTATAAGGTCATTATGGGTCAAAATCAACTCCAAGGCCACAACAGATTTGGTTTGGGTTTTTGATAATGTTTAGGTAATAAACAAATGTTAAAATATATATAAAATGATGCATACAGAATTTGGAAAAATCGAACAGTCCTGAAGCAAATTTTTTCATGTACAAAATAAAGATCTCACTCTCCAAATGTATTTCCTTTTGACTTTGGATCTCAGTTATACGGAAATCTGTTTACCTCAGTCTTTGGTAACTCAAGGCTGGAGTGTAGAATCTTTAGCAAATAGTGGTAAGGAGTGAAAAGATTAAACAAGTCCACTTAGCAGTTCTTTTAACCAGCATTTTCCTTTGTTCTTACCGGTTCAGTGTACGAAAATCCTAGAGCTTCTGCAGCTGATTTTATCAGTTCAGATTCCATTTTATGACGCTTCACAAACATAGCCAAATCCTGGAGGGAAAAAAACAAAACAAAACAAAAAAGGACAGACATATTTAAGTAATAATTAAAGAATATGATAAATGTTCAAGTGGAGATATTTTTCATTAGAAAGTTGACAAGTGGGCTAAAATCTATTCTATACTCAGTACTACAAATATGTCCCATTTCAATAGATTTTCACACATCAGGACTCAGGAGGGAAAAAATGCTTCTAGCAACAGTAATTAAAACTCAAAGAAACTGAATACTAAAACCTTTACTAAACTGCTGGGTATCTTTAACAGCAATAATGCATTTTTACTTGTCTCTCCTGCAGAACAGACAGCAGACGGTAGAGCTTCTTCTCAGAACAATGGTCTCACCTCTCGGGCTTCAATGGATTCTGGGTCAACACTGTCATCCAAAAGACTCTCATAGTAATCCACATTGTCCAGGACATCCTCGTCATCCGGATGGAGTAGAAGATAGGCCTTGGCACACTCCAGAGCTTTTATATATTCACCGACTGAAAGGTCAAGGAATTTTAGCATTAGAGCCAGCCTGGGTTTGCCCAAAGAATTTCTAGGAGATACTTCAACATGTCTATGGGTAGTCAGCTCTAACATCAATAAGCAGGAAGATTAGGAGAGGGTAGGGTGAGTAAGCAGAAACCATCAGATAAAAGGAAGCATGTGATTTCAGGTATTCAAAAGGTATTGCCTACAGCAAGCTTTGATGTTTTGCATTAATCATCAGAAGTTTGCACATGAAGAAGTTTGTTGGCAATTTATTTAATACAGAGGAACAGAGCAGAATTTTAGGAGTTAATTCTGACTTTCCTACTGAGTTTGGATTAAGTAAACATTTTATGGATAACCTTCTATAATAGTTCTTCATAGGATCCTAAATGCCCTGGAGGACTTCTCCTACCCCTCACTATTCCCTCACTATGCTATTACAGCAACTCCAATAGCAACACATTGTTAATAAGAATTAGCAAGGGTATTTAAACTGTGAACTCTCTGCTGTAGAAATATTTAGATATTAAACGAGGAATTTTGAAATACTGTATACTTTATTCAAAAAGATCACAACATTGCTTTCTTTTTAATCCAGTGCTTTCTTCAGAGAGATAATCTGAGATGGCTCTGATTTCTGGTAAGAGTGTTTACAATTAAGAATTATTTCAACTCCTTTGCATTCACTGGCCATGACTTGAACGCATGATTTATTATTTGCCATCAGTGCCAGGATGATGAGTAATGTTTTGCTTTAGGGAAGCGAAAGATTTGCCAAAGCAGCCTAAAAATGTTGGCTCAAGACTTTTTCTTATTATTTTAAAAGGGAAATACTTCCCTTACTACTGACCTCCATACAAGGCAGCCTTCCAGTAATTTATCCTGTATGTATTTGTGTGTAGATGTGAAATGATATATGTAAAATGCTATTCATTACAGCACTGATTGTAATAGCAAAAGATTATAAACCACAAATGCCCATCAATAAGGAGACACATTAAATAAATTATAGTATAATAAATAAAAATTAATTAGGAAGCTTTCTACATACTGATACAATTAGGCTGAACCCTATACAATTGCCCAAATTTTATCACTGTGACCTAAGCAAGTGACAATTTCATGGGTCCACACTACTAAAAAGATATCTGACATGCACTTATAAGTGAAGAATGCAATGTATAGAACAGTGTAGATAAAATGCTACCTTTAGTGTAAAAGGGGAAGACAAATACGTGTGTGCATGTATATTTGGTGTTTATGTACAACATCTTGGAAAGGTAAATAAGAAACTGTGGATTGTAAGGCCTGGAGCTGGGTTGATGGGACAGAAGAAGGAGAAAGTCTTTTATAATTTTTAGTCTTTGAACCACATAAGAATATTGCTGTTGTTATTTGCTCTTGAGTTTATTCCAACTCATGACAAACTCGTATGTGCAGAGTATAACTGCTAAACAAGGTTTTGAAGGCTGTGACCTTTCCAAAGGAAAACACCAGCCCTATCTTCCAAGGGGCCTCTGGGTGAGTTTGAATCACCAACCCATGTCATCCATGGAATTACATTTTAAAAAATTAAATTTAAAAATCATATAAAGTATCAGTCTAGTATAACTTTTAGGAAACTACTGCAGCTTTAAAGTTTGCACTCTGCCCACATGTAATTGCACTTCCTGCATCTTGAGCTGCAGTGATGTGAGATGACAGAGAAAACAGCTTTGGTACTAAATAAAAGAACACAAAAGACTGAACAATAAAAAACGTAATGTCTGTAATGTTGAACAACAACCTTGCAAAGGCCTTCATAGGTTTTCCATGCTTTACCTCGATAGTAGGCGAATTGTAGGTAATCATAATGCAGGGGAAGAAAGTTCTCAATAGGGGAGAGCCGGCCAGGGCGAGTGGCAAGTTCCCTCACACATTCATGCTGACAAACTAGCACCTGCATGTAGTGATCTGGAAAATAGGAAATGTGTGTCATTTCAGACCGCTGAATCCTCAAGCTTCAAAATCACAGTTGACAGTTACATGGGCCATCTATCCTTTCACTGCACACTTTTGAGATTGATGCCATTATTATCCTCACCTCATGACTGAAAAACCTTATTACAAATAAAGTAAGTTGCTTGTGAAAGTCTCCTAGTCAGAGATCAGTAGAGCAAAGTTGTTGTGTGTTGTCGAGTCGATTATGAATCATAGTGACCTTTAGGACAAAGTAGAACTGCCTGATAGGGTTTGCAAGGCTGTAATCTTTATGGATGGCCTTGTCCTTCTTTCCAGTCTGCCTTAGTCTGGAAGCTCCACTGAAACATGTCCACCATGGGTGACCCTGATGGTATTTGAAATATTGATGTAATAATCTCCAGCCCCACAGAAACACACAAGCCACCACAGTATGACACCTGTGGAAGCAACAGTCAAGAAATAAGTTATCTTATTGCACTGGGCAAATCTGCTGCAAAAGACCTCTTTAAATTGTTGAAGGGCAAAGACATCACTTTGAAGACTGGAGTGTGCCTGACCCAAGCAATGGTATTTTTAATTGCCTCATATTCATGTGAAAGCTGGACAATGAATAAGACAGACTGAAAAAGAGTTGATGCCTTTGAATTGTGGTGTTGGCAAAGAATACTGAAAATACCATGGGCTGCCAAAAGAATAAACAAATCTGTCCTGGAAGAAGTGCAGCTGGAATGCTTCTTAGAAGTGAGAATGGCCAGACTTCATCTCACCTACTTTGGTCATGTTGTTAGAGGGATCATTCCCTGGAGAAAGATATCATGAATGGCAAAGTAGAGGGTCAGAGAAAAGAGGGAAGACCCTCAATGAGATGGACTGACACAGTGGCTGCAACCATGGGCTCAAACACTTGTGAGGATGGTGCAGGACTGGGAAGTGTTTTGTTCTGTTGTATATAGGGTTGCTATGAGTCAGAATTGACTCGATGACACCTAGCAATGAGTTTTATGGAAGCAAAATGCCTCATCTTTCTCCAGTAGGGCAGCTGGTGGGTTCCAGTTCCAACTGTCAACCTTTTGGTTAGCAGTTGGGGATGCAGTAACTACACCACTATGACTCCTTTTCTATCCAGTTATAAAGTAGCCCATCACCTAGAAATTTTATACTCTGATACTGTAGGGACTAGAAAAGTAGGGAGATGGATGGAAGCCCTTCATTTTCTTCTTTCTATTGTTCTCATCCTCAGCTTGAAAAATGTGAAGATTCTGATGTACCCTCTTCTTAGCTCTGGGCTCTATCTCATCAAAGCATGGGCTGTGAAAACACAGTGACAATGTTCCAGAGAAGAAAATAGTGCTTAAGTTTCCCCCCAACTTTGTTTTCACAATGAAGAGGTACCCTTCTCCAGAAAGACAATGGTTCATTCATGCTTGTGCCAAACGAATTCCCTTGAGGGTGTAATAAAATCATCTGACTTGTGGCTTTACAATTTCATTTACCACTATCACCTTTGTTAAAAAGGTTCTCTGTTTAGGGGGAGTTTATCTTGGATCTTGACAATACTGCAGAAGGATCACAAAACACAACAGGAAGGAAATGTGTGTTTTCTGGTGTGCAGGAAAATATGCCAGCTTTCGTAACCTGGATAACTCAATCCCATATACAAGAGATGATAGAATCCCTAAAGTCAGGTGGTTCTTAACCTTAGTTGAAAGGGTGAGGGGAAGAACAAATTCCATTATTTGATTGTGTTTGCTGTTATTGAGTGCTGTCAAGTCGATTTTAACTTATAGTGACCCCATGAAACAGAGTAGAACAGCCTCCATAGAAACCCCATGGTTGCAAATATTTTGACAGCAGATTGCCAGATCTTTCTCCTCCTGTGAAGATGGTAAGTGGATCTGAACCAACAACCTTTCGGTTAGCAGCTGTGCACTTAACCATTGTGCCACCAAGACTCCCTGTTTGATTACCATGTTAGAAATAAATAGTTATTTTCTTTCTTAAGAAAAAAAACAGCCTTCAACTATTTTCTCTGATTTAGCTAGTTTTTAGTACTTCTCTTTACCTTATAATACATACTTCTCCTAATTCTGAATGATAGGTAAAAGGAAAAGTGGGAAACACACTCACTAAGAACCTAAAATCTGAATGAATTTGTTTTTTTCAAGGCAAGATATAAACAGTTGTAATGTAAGTGTGATACAATGATACTTTTTAGGACTTCACTAAGCATGGCTAGTGATATTAAGTAACTGCATCCATTGGTAATTCTCTCCACTTTTTAATGTCTTGTTTAATTCTAAAATTCAAATATTCTGGGTTTCTATATATATTCTGTCAGTTTACTTCTGGAAAGTTTTGAACCATATGTGGATAGTTAGAAGTGGAATATCACTTTTCATTTGTTGTATTCCTCTCTTCCTTTCTATATCAAATATAGATATACATATATATATATATATTAATAAGTTAGAGATCTAAGACAATTATAGAAGAATAATTTTTAGCTCCCCTTCTCAGAATAAATTTGATTTGGTTCCATTATGCGAGATATTAACATATTTCTATAATAGGTCATATTTTGTTCAGACTTTTTTTTTCCTTTTTCTTTCAGTTTCCTTTATTGGAATGGATGTGTGAAGAATTATAGAACTTGAGTAAGGAGATCTCCATTCCTTTCCAGCAATGTGCTGTACTGACTTCAGAGAATCATTAAAAGCAATCTGTAGGAGATTATCAAGCCCCAAAACCTGGTCTAGGCTGCTTGTCAAAGCTTTTTAATGGCCACTGGTAAAGGCAGGTATAGAGGCTAATGTGGGGTTAGAGGCAAATATCCCTGAAAACACAAAGTAGTAAAGTATAATAAAGGAAAAATCTACTCTTTCTCAAATGAGAGACTAAGTGTTAGAAAAATACCCAGTAACTGAAATGTGCAACACATATCAAATAAGCAGTGCTTACAAAACTGCAGGCAAATGCTCTGGCAGAAGCCCAGGAAAACAAAACCTTTTTTAAAAAAAAACTCAATAATTCAGATAGATAGACAATCAATTTATATTGATTCTAGGTAAAATGAATTGATTTGGAGTACATGTTTGCTGCAAATTTCTCATTTGGAAAATTGATTTTCAGTGAATTGGTCTAATTTCTAGTGTATGTTTTGATCACTCTTCCCTACTAGCCCATTTAAAAGACCTTACTAATTTATAACCTACATGCTCACAAACATAGAATATTATTTACTCTCTTATCTCTGAAAATAAGATTATAAAGATGTCATATCCATTCATTCATCAACTTATTCATGCATAAATATTTATTAAGCACTATTTACTGATCAAGGAGCTCTGGTGGCACAGTGCCTAAGGCCATTTGACTGCTAACCAGAAGGTTGGTGGTTAAAATCCACAACCCAGTCTATGGAAGATGAAGTAATCTACTTACTTAAAGATTTACCACCTTGGAAACCCAATGGGGGTCACTATGAATTGGAATCGACTTGATAGCGGTTTTCTTTTTTTTTCCCCCCCATTTAGGATCCCTAGTGGTCTTGTGGTTAAAAGCACTGGACTGCTACTGAAAGACTGGCAGTTCTAACAACCAGCTGCTTCATGCAAGAAACACGAGGCAATCTGCTTCCATAAAGATTTACAGCTTTGGAAACCCTATGGGGCAGTTCTACTCTGCTCTATAGAGTCACTATGAATGGGAATTGTTTTGATGGCAGTGGGTTGGTTTTGGTGGGGGTATCTGCCATTCACTACTATACTTACGCCATGTAGTGGATAAAGCATTTGGCTGCTAACTGAAAGGTTGGTGGTTTGAACGTATTAGGCGCTCCATGGCAAAAGATGAGGCAGACTGCTTCTGTAAGATTTATAATCTTGGAGATCCAATAGGGGTCTTTAAGAGTCAGAATTGACTCAATGGCAGTGAGTTTGGTTTTAGTTTTATACTCAAGCACAGGGTTAAGCACTAAACAAGACTGAGATTCAGGCAAGTGATAGAAGAAAACAATATTTTGAAGGACTAAAAGTTAAAAAACCAGCCTGACATATATAACAGATTAAAAGTAGTACAGCTGAAATTGATCAAAGTAAAAAATATTATGAAAGAAGAAGTAAACACACACACGGGCCAAATAATAAAACTCTTTGTTAAAGGTTTTGAGTTTTATTGCAAGTGCAATAAAAGTCATCAGAGAGTTTTAAGCAGGAAAATGTTGGTGATGTGAACAGACTTTCATTTTCTAGAACTTGATTTTCTGTACTCCACCTGCAAACAGAGTGAAAACTAACTAGGACAAGAAAACCAGCAAGCAGGCTATGATAGTGGTTAGGTTAAATAATATTGATTTGAATGAAGATAGTAACAAAAACGGTAGAGATAATAAGGAATTTTTAAGTGCTACCTGAAGTTACTATCTATCAGCTTTGTGATAAATGAGATGAGAACAGAAATTGAGGAAGATAAGGGATTGAACGGAGGAAATCTTGAGATAAAAAAAAAAAAAATAACTGAACAGAAGATTACCAAGAGCAGCTTGAGAAGACAAAGTATTACAATGAAATATGCAAAGACCTAGAGTTAGAAAACCAGAAGGGAAGAACATACTCAGCATTTCTCAACCTGAGAGAACTAAAGAAAAAGTCAAGCCTCGAGCTACAATAGTGAAGAATTCTATGGGCAAAATATTGAATGATGCAGGAAGCATCAAAAGAAGATGGAAGGAATACACAGTAACTATATAAAAAAGAATTGGTCAATATCCAACTATTTCTGGAGGTAGCATATTATCAAGGACATATGGTATTGAAGGAAAAAGTCCAAGCTTCACTGAAGGAATCAGCAAAAAACAAGGCTCCAGAAATTGATGGAATGCCCACTAAGATGTTTCAACAAATGGATGTCACATTGGAGGCACTTGACTCGTCTGTGCCAAGAAATTAGGAAGGCAGCTGCCTGGCCAACTGACTGGAAGAGATCTATATTTGAGCCCATTCAGAAGAAAGGTGATCCCACAGAATGTGGAAATTATTAAAGAATATCATGCAAGTAAAATATTGCTGAAGATAATTTAAAAAATGGCTTCAGCAATATATTGAAAGGAAACATCCAGAAATGTAAGCTGGATTCAGAAGAGGATGTGGAATGAGGGATATCACTGCTGATGTCAGATGGATCTTAGCTGAAAGCAAAGAATATTAGAAAGATGTCTGCCTGAGTCTTATTGACTATGCAAAGGCATGTGACTGTCTGGATCATAATAAATTATGGATAACATTGCAAAGAATGGGAATTCCAGAACACTTAAATTGTTTTCATGAGGAATCTGTACATACACCAAGAGGCAGTTGTTCACACAGAGCAAGAGGATACTGCATGGTTTAAAATAAGGAAGGGTGTGCACCAAGGTTGTATTCTTTCACCATACTTATTCAATCTGTATGCTGAGCAAATAACCCGAAAAGCTGGACTATATGAAGAAGAGTGTGCATCAAGACTGAAGGAAGAATGATTAAAGACCTGTGATTTGCAGACACAATCTTGCTTGCTGAAAGTGAAGATGGATTGAAGCACTTACTGATAAAGATCAAAGACTGTGGTCTCCAGTATAGATTACACTTCAACATGAAGAGAAGAAAAATCATTACAAGTGGACAGTAAGCAACATCATGATAAAAGGAGAAAAGATTGAAGTTGTCAGGGATTTCATTTTACTTGGATCCACAGTCAACACCCATGGAAGCAGCAGTCAAGAAGAAATCAGACAGTGTGTTGCACTGGGCAAATCTGCTGTGAAAGACCTCTTTAAAGCAAAGATGTCACTTTGAAGACTAAGGTGCGCCTGACCCAAGCCATGATATTTCCAATAGCCTCAAATGCATGTGAAAGCTGAAAAATGAATAAGGAAGACCGAAGAAGAGTTGATGCTTTTGAAGTATGGTGTTAGCAAAGAATGTTGAAAATACCATGGACTACCTGAAGAATAAACAAATCTGTCCTGGAAAAAGTGCAGCCACAATGCTCCTGAGAAGCAAGAACAGCCAGAATTCGTCTCACCTATTTTGATCATGTTGTCAGAAAGGACCATTCCCTGGTGAAGGAGATTTTGCTTGGTAAAGTAGAGGGTCAGAGATAAAGGGGAAGACGGATGGATTCACACAGTAGCTTCAATGATGGCAAGGATTGTGGGGATGGCACAGGACAGGTCATTAATTTGCATTTCTTTGAGTACCTGTGAAAAAGAACATTGTTTTTCTTATGTTTATAGTTTGTAACATATACATGCTCAATGAATAAGTGCTAAATATTATTATTGACTAAATTATACTTTCCCCACTTCTCAACTGTTTAGATCATAAAATTACAGGATCCAGAGGCAGAAAAGTATCAATCTCATTCCCAGCTTCATCTTAGTCTAGTTACTGAATCATTCTGAGGTACAATTTCCTTATTTAAAAAAGGAAGGGGAAGGTGGGTAGCAGTAATATCTGCCTACCTTTGTATATTAAAGGAGCTTTAGTGGTATAGTGCCTAAGGCATTTGACTGCTAACCGGAAGGTTAGGAGTTCAAACCCACCAGCCAGTCCACGGAAGGAAGACTGGGCAATCTACTTCTGTAAAAATTTACCACCTCAGAAACCCAAAGGGGGTCACTATGAGTCAGAACTGACTCGACGGCAGTGGGTTTGGTTCTTTTTGGTTTTTGTATATTAAGGATATGTACTCTTTTTTTGTAAAATTCTTCACATTTTTTTCCCATTTGTCATTAGTAATAAATTTGTTTTTATATCTTTAGCCTTAATCTTATATAAAGTTCCTATTTTTCTTATCTTTTGTTATGCTAAAAGCAGCTTCTCTTTTACTAATTATACAACTATTCTCCTGCATTTTCTTCTAATAGTTTTATTTTTTTGTTACATTTATATTGTTAATGTAAATAAAATTTATTTTCATGTATGATGTGTGGCAAAGAACTAATTTTTCTTGCTATAAATGATTAGGTAGTAACCAATTGATATACCAATTACTATATAATGCACATTACCAATTTATTTAAAATGGTACTTTGTCATATATTAAATTTCCATATATAATAAAATATCCTTTCAAGTAACTGATGATGAGTGAAGTGTTTACTGTTACATTGTTTGTAAAAATGAAAACTGCAACATCCATAATAAAAGATCAGTCAAATAAATTATGATGAACCAATATAACTGAATATAATCCAGTCAGGATATATAATTTGGTAGATATTCATGTACTTACATGAGAAGAAGTCCCCAATATATTGTTAAGCAGAAAACAAAACAAGAAAAAATAATCCTGAAAAGCAGTATTAATAGTCGAGTTATATTTTATACAAAATTAAGTAATAGTTATAAATAAATAAATACATAGCTACAATGCATATGAAAATTTCAGGATGATGTTCATGAAAATTTTATCAATGTAAATTTATGGGTATTGGATGGGAGAGACATATGAGACTTTCCCATTTTACAATACACACTTCTATATTATGTTGGAATATTTTTTACAGATTGTATGCAGTGTTTTCATAATCAGGAAAAAATAAAGAGAGAAAACAGGCTTTACCAGCAATGGCTTCATAGAGCCCAGCTTTATACCCTAAGTACTCATACTCTTCAAATCTCTGAGGTCCCTCACACAGGGCTCGGCACTCCATATCTTCATTGAAGTACTCTCTTAAAGCTTGTTCAAAGTACTTGATAGCCAGCTCAAAGTCATCAGCCTCATAATGTTTAACTCCTGCACCATAACTCTCCTGCAAAGAAACAGAAAAAGTTTATTTTTTTCCCTCAAGAGCACCCAAGAGGTGCTTGAACAGCAGGATAAAGAAAGGCTCAGGATCTTTTAGGTAGTGGAGATATTGGACTTTTGAGCCTCAGAAGGAAAAAAAAAGTTTGCACTGGAAGATGAAATGTAACTTCTCTGATTTCAGCTAACTGTAAACGATGAGAAGCGATTTACTGAGCAAGTAGATCCCTGTGGGCACCAACTTTCATTTTCTTCAGAGCACAAGCAAAGACTGCAGTTTCACTGTAATTTCTAACCCTTCTGCATCTAGGTAGGACCATAGAACAAGTACCAAACAGCAGATGTAAGTGACATCCATTTCCAGACCTTTTTTTTTCTCAAGAAAAAGGGGAGGAGGTTCCACTTAAAACCTTCCTCTCTTACCCTTTTCTGTGGTAATCTTGGAGAACGGTGACATCCCAAGATGAAAAACAAGTCCTTATAACATATTGTGATTCCAAATAAGATTTCATGTCAACAAATACTTACGTGTCTTTTAAAGCAAAGTATAAAAAGGAGAGGTAAAATGGAAAAAGCACTGGACAAAGAGCTGGGGAACTACAATGCGACCTTGAACCACTCGCATTGGCCTTGGCTGCTGTGTAAAATGAAGTGTCAGAAGGAGTTCCAAAGCTGAGACAGGCTGATTTATAGTGATACAGTGTTTTACTTTTCATCATATTATCCTGCTTTCCTAAGGTAATTTTATAATTTCCTTCATTTTTTTAAATGCTGATAATTAAAATATTTCATTTGCAAGCTCTTAAAGTATACAAATGTTGCTTTGTGGGGAATTGGGACTCAGTTTGGGATATCCAGTCATACAAGTCCACTTTGCACCAAAGGCAGCTTAGACACACTTAGCTCCATCTGGCTCGGGTGCGTATCCCCAGAGCTCACCAGGTGCGGTCTTGCTTCTCGATCTACCACCTGGAATGCTTCGAAGCCTGCCATGGTTCTGTAATTCTCGAGGTTCTGCTGCATTTCCATGTGTTCAGGGTTGGCCATGAAAAAGGTGTGGGCTGCTTCCAGTGCCTTTTCCAGCTGGTTAAGCTAGAGAGGAAAGAAGAACCAAATGAATGAAAATATTTCTAAATGAAATTCAGAGGACTTCTGACCAGCTCAAGATCTCACAGCTTAAAAATGGCAAGGCCAGGATTACCTCTCACGTTCGCTATATTAAACCTCTACACTAAAGTGTTGGGAGATTAACAGCATTCCTAAAATGATACGTGAAAATTCTGGCTTTGGTGAAAACTAATGAAGGAACTTTGTTTCAAGGTCATTCTCTTCTTTCTCTTTTCTAAACCATCTGTATTTTCTGGGAAATTGAATCTAGATGCTCCAGTTAGTTCTATTTTTAATCAAAATAATGAACTACCAGAGCTGTGCCACCTTCAAACTAAGTTTTCAACACTTTTATCCCCCACCTTTTTTTTCTGTTGTTTATTTTACCTAATCCTGAAAACAGTAGTATAAATGAAGTATGATTTTCCAAAAGATTAGACATACATTTTCATCCACTAAATGTGTTGTAGCTTTAGAAAGTGAAGAATACACAGTTAAAATAAAATTATCTCAATATATCCAAGATGCTAAAGGAGCTCTGGTGCAGTGGTTAAGGCATTCGGCTGCTACCCTAAAGGTCAGCAGTTCAAATCCATTAGCTGCTCCATGGGAGAAGAATGAGGCAGTGTGCTTCTGTAAAGATTTACAACCCTGTACATCCTAGGGGCAATTCTATACTATACTATAGGATTACTATGAATCAGAATCCTTACGATGGCAGTGGGTTTTTTTTGGGTGCAAGATGCTGAGTGCAGCACATAAAATGATCTACCACACTCCTCTGATTAAAGAATTTGATTAGAAACTTATGACTTTGATTCTCATTAGTGGGAAAGGAAAGGTTTTAAAAACTACTACACAGTCACTGTAAAGCTCCCCCTAAGCCACTTAATAGCAAGCTATGAGGTATTTTTAAATAGGATTAAATATCCTGAATTTAAGATATTTTGACATATGTTTAACCATGGAAAATCTCTACAGAGAGACCTAATTACTCCATGCCAGAAAAATGAATATTCAGACCGAGAGTCTTTTTCTCAATGAAATCAAAAGTATGTTACACCTATTTTAAAGTGTAAATAAATGAAAAGGTGTTATTGTTTAACAAGCGAATACAAAATCACAAAACAGTAGATGAGGCTCAGCTAGGGCTTGCGTAGAATTAAAAAAGCAGAAAGAAGTAGATAAACAGGCCCCTCTCCATCCCAAGTCACTACACTCTGGTGATACGTAAAGAATCTTAGCTGTCACCATGGAAAAGTGTAAACCACCTATGTAAAGACCTGTCATCTCCTCAAACTATTCTGGAACATAGAAAAGGATGGAATCCTCCCAAATTCATTTTATGAAGCAAGTGTAACTTTGATACCAAAACCAGGCAAATACATCATGCAAAAGGAAAACTACAGACCAATATCCTTCATGAATATAGATGCAAAAATCTTTATCAAAATCCTAGCCAATAGACTACAACAACATACCAAAAAAAATAATACATTATGACCAAGTGGTGTTCACATCAGATATGGAAAGATGGTTCAACATTAGAAAAACAATCAATGACATCCATCATATAAATAAAACAAAGGAAAAGAACCACATGATCATATCGATTGATGCAGAAAAGGCATTTGATAAAATCCAACACCCATTCCTGATCAAAACTCTCAACAAAATTGGAATAGAAGGGACATTCCTCAACATAATAAAGGGCACATATGCAAAACCAACAGCCAACATTATTCTCAATGGAGAGAGACTGAAATCATTCCCCTTGTGAACAGGAACCAGACAAGGATGACCTCTATCACTGTTTTTATTCTACATTGTCCTAGCCAGGACCATAAGGCAAGAAAGGGAAATCAAAGGCATCCAAATTGGTAAGGAAGAAGTCAAACTATCCTTATGATAGTGGTCCTATACCTAGAAAACCCAAGAGACTCAGTCAAAAAACTACTAGAACTAATTGAGAGATTTGGCATAGTGGCAGGATACAAGATCAATATCTAAAAATCAGTTGGATTCCTCTACACCAGCAAAGAGATTGCTGAAAAAGAAATAAGGAAATCAAGACCATTTGTAACAGTTACCAACAAAATAAAATACTCGGGAATAAATCTTACCATGGGCACAAAAGACCTGTACAAAGAAAACTACAAACCACTACTTCAAGAAACCATAAGAGAGCTACAAAATGGAAGAACATACCATGCTCGTGGATATAAAGATTGAACATTACGAAAATGCCAATTCTACCCAAAGCAATCTATACATTCAAAGCAATCCCAATCCAGATCCCACCACCATTTTTTAAGGATATGGAAAAACCAATCGCTGACTTTCTATGGAAAGGAAAGAGGCCTCGGGTAAGTAAGGCAATACTGAAGAAGAGCAAATTAGGAGGATTTCAAAACCTACTACATAACCACAGTAGTTAAAACTGCCTGGTATTGGTACAACAACAGACACATAGACTGATGGAATAAAATGGAGAACCTAGGAATAGATCCATCAACCTGTGGTCAGCTGCTCTTTCACAAAGGGCTGAAATCCATTAAATAAGAAAGAGATTGTATGTTTAACAAATGTGGTTGGCAAAACTGGGTACCAATTTGCAGAAAAATGAAACAAGATATGTATTTCACACCATACACAAATATATATATATATATATATATATATATACACACACACACACACACACATATACATACACACACATACACACATACACACACATAAACACACTAGAGGCCTTTGGAAGGAAGATTGGGCAATCTACTTCAGTAGTGATATCACCTCAGAAACCGAAGGAGGGGTTGCTATGAGTCTAATCTAACTCGACAGCAGTGAGGTTTTTTTTTTTTTTTCCAGTTTATATATGGTGTGTGTGTGTGTGTGTGTGTGTGTAATTTTATATATGAAGATGGCGCAATCTACTTCCGTAGTGATACTGCCTTGGAAACCCAAGGAGGGGGTCGCTATGAGTCAGGTCCGACTCCACGGCAAATAACAATGACATATATAAAATAAAATGCCATATATTTGTGTTGTTATTTGCCATCGAGTCATATCTGACTCATAGAGATAGCGACCCGTCTTTGGGTTTCCAAGGTGGTATCACTATAGAAGTAGATTGCCCAACCTTCCTTCCAAGGAGTGGCTGGTGGGTTTGAACCACCAGTCTTCTGGTTAGCAGTCAAGTGCCTTAAGCACTATGCTTCCAGTGCTCCTATGCCATATATTGTTGTTGCTGTTGTTTTTTTCCATCGAGTCAGACCCAACTCATAGCGACCCCTCCTTAGGTTTCTGAGGCAGTATCACTACGGAAGCAGATTGCCCCATCTTCCTTCTGAGAAGCGGCTAGTAGGTCTGAACAGTCAGCCTTCTGGTTAGCAGTCAAGTGCCTTAGGCCCCTACTTTTTCCTTGAGGAACTTTATAGTTTTAAGAATGGGGATCTCTGGTGGCACTGTGCCTAAGGCATTTGATTGCTAACAAGAAGGCTGGCAGTTCAAAGCCACTAGCCACTCCTTGGAAGAAGGTTGGGCAATCTACTTCCATAGTGATACCGCCTCGTAAACCCAAAGAGGGGTCGCTAGGAGTCGAATCCAACTCTATGGCGGTTGAGTTTTTTTTTTTTAATATGGCATAAATAGATTATCATGCATAACCCAAAATGCACAAACAGCAGAACATAAGCTAGATGAACGGGACCTTCTAAAAATTAAATTTTTATGTGCTTCCAAAGACTTCTCCAAAAGAGTCAAAAGAGAACTTACAGATTGGGAAAAAATATTTGGCAACAACATATCTGACAAGGACTTATTTCTAGAATTTATAGAAAACTCCAATACATCAACAACAAAAAGACAAATAATTCAATTAACAAATGGGCACAAGAATTGAAGAGACACTTCACCAAAGAGGATATTCAGGAGGCCAACAAACACACGAAGCAATGTTCATGATCATTAGCCATTAGAGAGATGCAAATCAAAACAACAATGAGATACCATGCTGCCCCAGCACTAGTAGCAAAGTTCAACAAGGCAGAAAATAACAAATGTTGGCGAGGATGTGGAGAGACTGGGACTCTCATACACTGCTGGTGGGACTATAAAATGATACAACCACTGTGGAAAGTAGTATGGCAATTCCTTAAGAAGTTGGAATTAGAAATACCATTTGACCCAGCAATTCTATTACTAGGTTTATTTCCTAAAGAAGTGAGAGCCAGAACAAGAACAGATATAGGTATACCCATGTTCATCACTGCACTATTTGCAATAGCCAAAAGATGGAAACAACCTAGGTGCCCATCAACAGAAGAACGAATACCCAAACTATGGTATATACACACAATGGAATACTGTTGTTGTTGTTTGCCGTCGAGTCGGCCCAGACTCATAGCGACCCATCCTTGGGTTTCCGAGGCAGTATCACTACGGAAGTAGGATTGCCCAACCTTCCTTCCGAGGAGTGGCTATGCAACCCTAAATAATAACATAGAATCTGCAAAACACTGCACAACATGGATGAACTTGGAGGATTCTATGCTGAGTGAAATAAGTCAGTCACAGAAGGACAAATATTGTATTGGTCTGTTATTGTAAAAAGTCAAGGAAAGATTTATATATGGAGGGCAATTTTCTTTGTTGGATACAAGAAGTGGGATGGGAGGGAAGGGAACACTGCTAGATAGGTAGAGATAAGTATTGGTTTGTGTGAAGGGAAGGGCAATATGCCAAATGTGAGTGATCAACATGGTGGCATTGAGGAAGAGGAAGACATAGAGAGGTGCATGGGAGGTACAGACAACAAAGATGAACCCTTTTGCACATATAGTACTGCATTGTCAGTGATGGCAAACATTGATCTACAGGTGCATAGATGGGTGCACAGGCTAAAAGACTAGGTATGTCTTCACAGGGGGAGTGTTACCATGACTATGTATAGGGTTGGCAGACAATATTTCTACAAGTGT